CAACCCCAGGAACCATCACTTAGAAAAAAAAATGAAAAAAAAGCCTCCACTTACCTTGGGGGGGGGCTCCATAGCCTCCTGGCAGAGCATCCTGGGCAGCACAGGACAGCAGGGATGCAGCAGGGCCTGGGCTTGGGCCGCTGAAGCTGTCCCCATGCCACACACTCTGGGCAGGACCCCTATGGTCCCCTCCTCCAGCCCCCCAACCCCTTACTCACCAGCACTGGAGCCCTGGTGCTGAACCATGTGGCCTGGCTGGCCGCGTGTTTCAGCACCAGGGGAAGGGGCCAACCATAGAGATGCTCTGGCGGCCAAAGCATCTCTGTGGAGGACCCAACCTCCGGTTGCCTGCTCCACTCTTTTAAACTTTGATTTTTTTTTTTTTTTAAGCCCTGGATATCCAGGGATCTAATTTTCTCCCTGAGCTGCAAACTTGCAGTGTGGGGAACATTTTTTCATTCCTGCACATGCCTGTTGCCCCACTTCAAAGGGGTTTGAGGTGGGACAAGAGGCATGTGCCCACTCATGTGGATGCCCCCAAGGAGAACAAATAAGCTAAGGACAGACACTTATACATAAACCAGTTTAAATGATCATAAACTGATTTAAACCTGTAACCGAACAGACATTCAGTGAACATAAACCAGTTCGAAAATGGCAGAAATCAGTTTAAGATAAACCTGGCTGAATGTAGTATCAGACTTAACTGATTTGGCTCAAACTGGTTTATGCAATGTCTGTCCCAGACCCCTTCCTGGTTTAACTTAAAACAGAGTCCCCCAGCATCCCAGATGCTTTGCAGCCCTGGGTGGCACTCTCTGCTCTGCCATGCCCCTCTGTCTGGCTGCCCCTTGTCCCAACCCCCCCGTCACAACTCCCTGCTCAAGCACAATTCCCCCCTCCCCTCTCCCAAAGTATGGACCATAGCCAGCATGTAGTATGCTAGCTAATGATGGACCTGTGGGTTTTTGGAGTTAATCAACAGGTAGCTGGTAATGTCCCTCTATTCCTTCCTTGGAAAAAGCTGTTTAAGATGAGCTTGAACTAATGAGAGAGGCTTTTTTTTTCTTGAGTTAGGGGTGAGAAACACTGTGTTATCAACTCCCTGCTGGGCTGGTCAGAAAGCGGGGGAACCAGTCCCTAATCAGGGCATCCTGTCAGGGCCTGGCCACACCTCCACCTCAGCTCAGCATTGTGGAAGTGAAGGGAGGGCTGCTGTAGCCCCCCTGGCTTCTAGCCTGAGCTACTGCAGGCATCTGCCTGCATTTCTTCTGTCCAGAGGGGATGTCTGTGCAGTTACAAACCAGTTCAGTCTAGCCAGGTTAGACTAACATGCAAAGATTGAATCAATGCAGGCTCAAGCTTTTTGAATGTTTTCCCCTAGCCATAGACTCTGTGTTGTCTAGAGCACATCAGCAGTGGGTCCCCAGGGGGTGGGAGGGGAGAGACAGGAGGGACAAGGACTGACCAAATCCCTTCCATTCAAATCCTCTGATGTACTCCAGAACCAGAATTTCACCAGTATGGACTTCTCCAGACTCATATTCAATTAGATGGAGACGAAGGGCTCCATCTAAACTCCAAGGTATATCAATCATTTGCTTTCACAGACTGCATCATTGATCTATGAACTTCTTTCCAGCCAAGCTAGAAGAAAAGGCCAGTCTAGAGCAGGATATGAAACAAATAAGCCTCTTGAAGAATTATCTGCTGGCACCTAAATTCTTTGCTTTCATTACCGGGGTAGAGAGTTTCCTGCAATCCATCTGGCTTGGAAAATATTGTGGAATTTAGAAATTACCTTGATGTGTCATAATAGTGTAGCAATCAATATTTGGACTTGTTTATCCTCTTTGTCCCTTTTCTCTTATTGTATATGCTACACAAGAGTGGCTTAAACCAATTTACAACACACTTTCTTCAGGGCTCCTTTTTGTAAAAGCTATTTTAATTCACATATTCTGTTAATTAGTGGAAGTCTGTGAGTGAACTTGATTCTGATAAAAATGACTTGTCAATTTTGCTTAACTAAATCTCTAATTTTAGAAAAATACTCATTTTACTTACTCTGAAATAACAGTTTTCAGCAACAAACTTGGCAACACCAGTATGAAAAAGAAAGAAGGATGATCCTGTTGCTGCCTGGGAGCAGGTAGGAGCTGGCGGGAGAAGGAAGATCTCACTGAGAATGGCACTTCCAGAGTCACTGCTCTGCGAAGCTAGAGTGGCCACAGAGGGGGCAGAGACATGAGAGCCCCCGATGGAAAAAAGACTGATGTGGCACGGAGCGGGGAGAAGACAGAAAAACATGACAGCCAGAGAGAGAGAGAGCTGGCAAGGGGTGCAGTGAGCAATTAAGAAGAGTTACAAGGTTCAGAGACTGAATCCAGTTGAGGACTCATTGACGGAAGAGAGCGAAAATACTGAAAAAGTTGTGGAGGAAAGCAAGAACTCCACAGAAACAAGTAAAGCTTTTCTTTTGTTTTTAAACAGGAATGAAAGTGAAGTAAAATGTATTAAACTTTACAGAAAGAAAAAAGATTTGAGTTCCAGAGGCAGATAGCCGGAAACTATTTTATTTTTTTTTGTCTTGTTTTGTTGCTAACCTTAATTTTGATAGATACGGGACTTTGTATTTGTCTGAGTCGTGAGATTTGTCTGAAAGAAACAAGAAGAGAAGAGTTCAAACTACAAAAAAAGAAAAACATAATAAATTGTGTTGTGTAATAAAAATAATAAATGACACTTACAAGAAAATACTGTATCGCTGTGAGTTTTTGGAATGAGAGTGGTGAAATTTACCTAAATTTAGAAGACGATTTCCAGAGTTCAGTGCTGAAAGATAAATCAACATTATCTGGTGATATATATAGTGGTGTTAAAATTACATCCCTCCTGAAACAATTTTCCATCAAGATGTGGCAGGCAAGAATCGGGATCACCACAAAAATCAACCGGTTATAAGAATCTTATTTGTAATTGGAAATTAATCTGGAAATTTACTGGAAATCTATACTTTTATAAAAATACGATTAGACTCTGAACTTCACAACCAGTTTAGCTACATTATGCTTATGGCAGAGCACCTCAGGCCAGCTACCACCCTGATGGAAGGCGAGTAGGGGCACCTAAACCCCAGCCCCCACCTTTTGGGTGGATCATTTAACATCAGAGGCAGTTGGGGCCAGGCACAGTTGTGGCCACCTGAGCCCATGTGGGGTACAAGACCGCAGATAGTGGAGAGTGGGGCCAGGCATGGCTGCAGCCACCTGAGCCCATGGGGGAGTGAAAGACCCCAAGGAGTGGAAGTGGAGGGGCCAGACACACTGGTGAGTGGCACCTGAGCCTTCAGGGGGTGTGTTTGACCCCAGGCCCTAGCATAGAGGGCGGAGTACGTGCCTCAGGGGATGCAGGGCAGTGTGCAGTAGGGCACCTAATAGCCTGCACTAGAGTGGCAGTTGGGAGGCCCAAAGAGCCAAGCAAAGGGGATGGAGCCTAGTGAAAAGGCAAGAAGCCCAGAGGCTAGGAGCCCTGACTGTTCGTGTGTGGGGCAAGGAACACAGTGAGAGGGGCTTGGAGCCCAATGAGAGAGGCCGGAGTTAGGGGCCAGGATATGGTTACAACAGGTGAATGCTGATAGGGCTGAGTAATGAGGCCCTGAGAACAGGGGGCCTGAGATGAGGCCCTGTGAGAAAAGGGCATGAAATGGGACCCAGTGAACAGGGGGCTTGAGGGTAGGCCCTGTTAACATGGGGGCCAGGTTAGGTCCAGGTAAACCTTCAGGCACCTGAGGCCACAGGTGGGCCAGAGGCTGATTGGTTGGGGCGGCTGAGTAAGTGCCACGGGTAGACAACAGGGCAAGCCAGGAGCCCCTAATTCAGAGCAACTGGGTGAGCGACTTGGTGAGGGACTAGAGGCAGAGTCACTCCAGTGTTCTGCTAACCACCCAGCGCTCACTCGGATGAGGGTTGCAGGAGTGGCCCAAGAGGCCACGCACTGGCTGGCCAGAGAGTGCAGGGAAACAAGCCCCAGGACCCTCCAAGTGAGGGCAGGGTGTGGCCCTGGGAAAAGGAGGGGCAGTATGAGAGTGGCCCTGCAAGGGGGCAGTATGAGAGAGACTGCGTGAGAGGTGGTGGAGTGAGAGAGACCTCAGTGAGAGGGAGGTGGTATAAGTGTAGCCCATGATGGGGCAGAAAGCAAGAGGCCTAACACTGGGATCAGTTGAGCCCAGCCTCAGGCCAGAGCAGAGCTCAGCTGTCAGGAACATCTGCAAGGCTTGGGGTGCAGTATAGGGATGGCTGGAGCTGCATACATAAGCCCAGGAGAACAGGGCATACGAACAAGGCCTCCTGCCTAATTAAGACCTTAATTTTTAAACAACAAGGGGTGGCAGATGAGAAAGGCAGTGCCCAGAGGCAGGTGGGAGATTAGCACTGTGACTAGTCAAGGAGTTCCCACGTTGCCACAGTGCTTAAAGCATGGTTTTATGGAAACCAGTAAAATGATGAGTATAGCAGAGCCCTTACTTAGATATGTCTCAACACTGTGTTCCTTCAATTCTTTCTTCTTCCAAGAATAGACCTTTGCTATCAAAAATTCTACAATTCTGGAAAAATTATGGAATATCACCTCATAATGCTTTTCCTTAACTGCAGTATAGTAGACTATGTTTATAATCTGTCTAGATATAAGTATTTTAAAGAACTCTGACTTCAAATATGTCAGTAAAGCATCTAACACACTACTGCCCTTTAGGGTTGGATTTTCAAAAACAGTGCTAAGATCCACAGAGTGTTGGCTTCAGTGGAAGTAAAGTTAAGCCAACGATAATGGATTTTTTGAAAAACACACCTTATATTTTCAAAATGGGCATTTAAGATATTAACATGGTTCTCGTGA